TACAATGAAATACAATATAGCCATTAAAAAGAAGATGATATGGGAAGATTTTCACAACATTAAGTGAAAAAGTGCAGAACAATAATAAATATAGTTCAATCCCCTTTGTGCATAAAAAGGCTATATTTTTTCTGTTGAATTTGCATAAAACATTTCTAGACATATACCACAAGAAATGTTGTGGTTGCTTTAGGAAGTGAGACTGGCAGGTATTTCATACCTTTCTATACTGTTAAACTCTATTTTCACCACATGTTTATATTATTTCTACAAATTGTAAAGATAATAGTTTAAAAACAAAAAGAACCTGATTTTAATCCTCTGGCTGTGTTATCCACGACAATTACCTAACTTCTCTAGGCTTGTTTTGCCAACCATAAAATGGGAATACTACGTATCTAACAGAGCTGAGGACTGACACAACATGCATTAAGCAAGTAGCAATGCACAAAATAGCCACTCAGTAAATGTCACCTTCCCTTAGCACCAAGAAATCTGGAAATCCTCTTAATTCAACCACCTCCTCTTATTGGTAAGAACACTAAAGCCAAAAAGGTTTAGGAACTTGCCCAAGGTCAATCAAGCAGTAACATGGAGAGCAAGGCCCTGAAGCCTGGGTTCCTGTGTTCTAATATAAAAACTGACTTCATAAGAACCAAGGAACGACTATTACTACTCTATGCCCACACCGCACTTTGCAGAACCAGCCTGCTCTTCTACCTCACTCACCAGACTTGATGAGTCTTGAATATTCCTAAACACCAAATCCACCATCAACTGAGGGGTCCTGCCAGGTAAGGCAGGCCCAAGCAGAATCTCTAAGAATGTTTTGATCACAGATAGCATTAACCTCATAAGGGGCAATAATGATTTGGACATGGATGTGTCTTAAAATGCCCATTCTTTAGCAGTCTGTATTTAGCAACAAGTTCTGTTTTCAGTGACATTCATACATAAACCTATATAAAAAATTGGGGGCTCAGTCTCCTGATTAAAATGGAATGACTTTCAAAATGATTTGGTGGTGGCTGGTCATTTCTTTTTCTGTTTGGATGATTTCCTTAAAAAGGAAGCTTCCTGGTTGTTAGGACTTAAATCACAGGGCATTGGTCTCCTTTCCTAATTTCTTTCAAAGGATACATATATCTTGTCAAGAACAAAGACCCGGGTGCCTTAAATGTCTATAGGGATGAACTCTTGGGACCTACCAAGGGCAAAGGTTAAAGGAAGATATGCTGAAAAGGACAGGGCAGCACCCCAGGCTGTTTAGAATAGTAGTGGGTAGTGTACAATAATAGATTACTAGATAAGGAGCTACAATCAACAAAGCATCTGGAGGTATGCAAGAGGGCAATATTAATTAATAAGTGAACCCATGTATAATGTAAGACATTTTCCCCTTTCCATATTAACACCCTACACCTGCTTGGCACTTCAGACTGCCAAATTCTTTCCCATAAATCACTGTCGCATGCAGTTCACTGCCCATCAACAGCCCTTTATTGTTCATCCTCATCTTGCTCCAGTGGCAGCCACCTGGCCCAGGGGATGAATCATGACTGCTCCAAGCCAGAGGTTCTTCCTTTTGGCTGCCAATACAATCACCTGGAGAACTTTCCAGACATCCCAGTAGCTGGGTCTGGAGACTCCACTCAGGACTAATTACACCAGAATCTTAGGGGTGGAGCTCAGCCACTGTCATTTTTATTAAAAAGCTCCTTGGGTGGCTGTAACATTCAGCCAGGGCCGAGAAGTGCTGGGCTAAGCCAATCATGACATTCCCATTCTCTTTCAGCAATTATTGGGCTAGGGCAGGCCGTGTAGCCCAGTTCTAGCCAATGAGACAGAAAGGGAAGTCCAAAGTGGTAGGGGGCTCTGGGAAAGGTTTTATAACCAGATTAAAGGCAAGAGCATGGCATGAGTGAAAATCACTCCACCTCTGACCGGCTAACCAGCTTTCTTCTTTTCTGCATTTTAACAAACCTATGTAGTTGTGTGAGGATGTGATGCTTGGAGGTATAGCTACCATCTTGTGACACTGGGAAGATAAGCTGGTGAATGAAAGCCAAGAAGTAAAAAGAAAGAACTTGAGTCTTTAGTGACTTGGTTCAGGGTACTGCAGTCCCCACCCAACCTGAAAAAAGCTCATTGATTGATTCCCTCCCAGCCAAATCGTGGCTATCAGGTATGTACCGTCCAGAAATTACTCAGGTTAATTTACATGTAGCCTCTCTCCATTGCTGGGCTGAGGGCATGCTCAGATGCCCTGTGGGGAGGATATAGAGTCATAGCTTTCAGGAATTTTTTTTTTAGTGACAGGGTGTCACTCTGTCACCCAGACTAGATTGCAGTGGTGTCATCATAGCTTACTGTAACCTCAATCTCCCAGGCTCAAGCAATCCTCTTGCCTTAGCCTCCCGAGTAGCTGAGACTACAGGTGTGCACCACCACACCCTACTTACATTTTACATTTCTTTTGTAGAGATGAGGACTTGCTATGTTACCCAGGCTGGTCTTGAACTCCAGGCCTCAAGTGATCCTCCTGCCTCAGCCTCCCAAAGTGCAGGGATTACAGGCGAGAGCCACCATGCCCAGCCAGCTCAGGGACATTTTATATGTTTGGTGGTTGGAACATATTATTAATAGTAATAAAGCCAAGTGTGTTTCCCACCAGACTATACTGGCTGGGGTGTCAGGGGTGTGACCAGGGGATACTAAAGGGGGCCAGGTAAGGTGTGTTATAACGGAGAGATTTTGAGCGCTGTTTCACCCTCTTCAGCCCAAGTGTGAACATGAACAAATTAGTTCTCTTAGTCTCAGATTCTGCATCTGAAAACTAGTATAAATAATGATATATGTACAATGCCTAACTCAACACATGGCACAGAGCCCTTCAATAAGGATCCAACCCCTTCTCTTCCCTCTTCCCTTCCCTTCTCTAGAAAGTGACAAACTTCTGGAAAACCCATCAGTGGGTCAGAATGTTATCTTCCTAGGAACCAGGAATACAAGCATTTTGATAAGTCCACTAGTTGGTTGTAAGTGCCCAATGGGAGAGGAAGAGCTCAGACACCAAAGTCTGGAAGAACCTAAAGCTTGCTTCCAGATGTCCCTGGAGCCCTGCAAAGGAAGCCCCATCAGCCTTCCAAACAGCAGCACCAGTGTCTTGGAGAGCAAGGCCCACAGTCACTCTGTGGGCTCTCCCACAGTCACTGTCATCTGCAGGGATTCTAACTTCCCAGAGGGCAAAGATCATCCTCTACTCTCCTCTCTATTCTCTTTACGACCTCAGCCCAGCCAGCACTCAATAAATGTTAGTAAAAATGGAAAAAAAAAAGGAAAAAAAAGAAAAGCAAATGTTTCTGGGGGATTGACATGTCTTAAAGCCATAAAATGCTGCAGTATTCACCCAGGGGAGGAGTTCCCTCAGGCCTGTGAAGGAGAGTTAGAGACCATTATGTTACATCTGTAAATATAGGATTAGCAGATGAAAGGATGTTTTTGTTAAGACGTGACAAGTCACCCTGTACCTTACCTTGCCTCACTCTGAAAATCAGGAAAGAACACAGACTTCCTAGCAATTACAGAAAGTGACCAAGAAAACTACTTGATGACTGGGAGAAAAATCAGTTAGCCAGCTTCAGAAATCACTCCAAACCCCTGGCTCTGTTAACAACAAAATCCGTCTTCATTAACATCTTCAACCTTTGTCCTCAGAGCTTCATCCCAGGGGAATGCTGAATTACACTATAAAATAATGAATGGAAACTTAAGTCACTTCCGCCCACCCAGCACTCACTGCTTTTCCTCCTCTGGACTGACTACACAGTGCAGAAGGTGGCACCCTTCCAACTTGAACAAAGTGTGAGGAAAGGCATCCTCATGCCACTAACTAGACTTCCATGGTCAGCATCATCCAGAACAAACTCTTCCCTCAGCACAATGTTACAGGCCATCCATTGACACAGAAACTGAACACATTTTGAGATCATTTAAGCCTCACTCTAGCATCTTCAAATATACACTTTGTAGAAAAAGAACAAAAAAGGAAGTTTCTTTTCACAAAGCTCCTTCTGCAGTCACAAACTGCTACTGCCAATCTAAGGCTCCATCTCGCAAACGGATGGGGTGGAGAGGGGGAAGCCCAGCCCTGAAGTCTTGTCTGCACTAGAGGAAGCTGACCAGGCAGCTTTTGTGACCTCATGTGAAGGGATATGGTCAAATATCCTGCAAACGCCAGCCACAGGGAGGGGGGGGGGCGTGAGGGAGAGTTGGAGCTGGAGAGGGAAAGAGGCACATACATGAGCCAGAGGAAAGCAAAATACTTCCACTCCATTATACAAGCACCTAAGACACACAAATGTGCAAAAACTGTTGCAAGAGCCGCCTGACTGTGCCTGCACACTTGGGAACTAAGGAGGAAAGCTTGGGGGCTCCACCCGAGAGAGACAGAGAATAAATATGAAAACAGAAAGATTAGGAATAGTCAGGGTTAGAGTCACTACCATTTTCACCAGACCTTGCTTTTGGCTTTCTCTGTGCCTGCAAACACCATTGCAAAGTTTCCTCACAGGACAAATTGGCATCAAGATAACTTCATAACCAACGAGCTTAAATGGTTCCTGAAATCCTATAGTCCTCATGTCAATTCCTAGTCTCAAGGTTCACTATGACTATTTCAAACCTTCTCTACTCTCCTCGGACCTCTGATATCTCCTACTTCATAGAGGGGACTGGGAGTGTGGAGACCTGAGTTCAGTCTCAGTCACACTTAAACATCCTCTCTTCTTTCAGGGTCCCCGTCTGATGAGGCAGGTGGCTAAGCTGGAGATCCCAATGAATCTTCCAGATTCTACGAGCAGGATTTTCCCATCCTCTTGGACCCTATATGATGGGATGGGATACGGGATGGGCCCCTCTCCTCTCCCACCGCTACCCCTCCCGCCATTGCTGGCTTCCCAAAGACCCTTCCCCCCACGACTTGTCCCGGGCCACCTTACCTGGATTCGCCCTGGGGGCAGGAGTTAAGGGCTACGTATCGCCATCGGCCTCGGTCTCCAGCGGCGTCTCCCCATCCCTGGGTGGCTCCGCATCGCCCTCCTCTCCGCTGCGAGGATAGGCGAGCAGGCGCATGGCTGGAGCGCAGGCGGCCTCCACCTGGCGCACCTGCTCTCGGCTCAGGCGCTCGCGCCAAGCGTGCACCGCTTCCCGGGCATCGCGCGCTGACAGGTGAAAGGGCCGGTCAGCGCCATAAGCCGCGCCGCGGGTCATGTTGAGCGCGAAGGCGTCGAGCGCGGCGAGCGCGCGCAGCCCGGAGAAGCTCAGCAGGCGGCGCAGCTGCGTGCGCGGCTGCCGCACTAAGTCCTCGTAACGCAGCCTCAGGTAGCGGCGCCGCAGCCAGGCGGGCGCCCCGCGCGCGAAAAGCAGGTCGCGCAGCCAGGCCTCGCAGATCACCTCCAGCGCGCCCGTCAGGAAGAAATCCGCGCGCGGCGCGGCGGGCAGAGCGCGGGACTGGCCCCCGGGGCGAGCGCCCACGCCGTGCGCTAGCAGCACTCGGTGGAAGCGATCGCCCCTCTGGCGGGTGCGCAGTACCTGGATGCTCTCGCGCAGCAGCCCCTGCCTAGACTTGAGGCGCGAGTTGTGCACGGCCCGCGGGTCGCGGAAAAGCTGCACCACCTTCAGGTTGAGGCCCGGGTCACGGAGCAGGGGCACCAGCACGCCCAAGTCGAGCAGGCGCACGTCCTTGATGACCACCACTGGGTACTTGCGGCACTCGGCCTCCAGGGCACGTATCGCTACGGGTGGGCAGCTGCGCTCGCAGGCGGTGTCCTCGACTAGGCCCACCTCGGTGCGGGCTCGGGGCGCACCAGGACACAGTGGCGGCGAGCAGATGACCTTGTTGGTCCGCCAGCGGAAGAGGGTGGCCGTGGTGAGATTGGCTGAGTCCGGGGCGCGCGCTGCGGGGTCCCCCGGCGGCGCGTACAGCCGCAACACCGAGAAGTCACAACGGAAGAGGGAGCGTAGCATGTCTCGCAGCGCGCCCTGCAGGCTCTCGGCGTCGCCTGGATACAGTGCCTGCCATAGGTGCCACATGGGCTCGTACAAGTAGAAGACGTCTGGGTGCTGATTAAAGAGCTCGCCCAGGAAGGACGAACCGGTGCGCCAGGTGGCATGTACATAGATGTGCTGCTTCTCGCGAAACCCCGCCTCCCCGACGGAGCCGCTGAGGTTGCCCAGGGACCGGGATGACTGGCCCGCGCCCCCTTCAGTGGTGGGCCGCGCCTCCGCGCCCTGCTCACGTTCGCCTGCCGCCGCTGCCTCCAGGCTCCACACACCCAGGCTGCGCTGCAGGCCAGGGCAGTGCCCGGCGCTCTTGTTCGTATCGCGGCCGCTGTCCAGGACGGAGGGGACTAGCAGCAGCACCAGTGTGTACAGCACCAACAGCAGCGCGAACTTGCAGTACTCTCGGCGCCGCCGCCGCCGGCCCTTCATAGTTCACCCGCCCCGCAGAGCAGGTTGGGCGCCCGTCCTCTCCCCTTCCTCAGAAATCCCGTCCCGAGTCCGTTCCTCCGGCCTCTCCCGGCTCCTCTGCGCCCGGAGGAGCGGTGCCGCAGGGTCGTGCATCCACAAGGGAAACTTGGAAGGCAGTGGTGCTGTTGGCGGCGCCCCTGCCCTCCTGGTTCAGCTGCTGGAAAGCCGCCTATTGGCTGGCTGTCTTGGCAGCCGCTCGCCCCGCCTTCAGCCCGCAGCTTCTCCCCGCCCTTCCACCCGCCGGGATTCGCCTTCTGCTCTGCCAGATCTGGGCGGGGCTGCCGCAGGGTGGGGACAACGGCACACCGAGCCAGGCCCCACCTTTCCCCAACCCCTCCTTAATGAAGTCAAGTCTTCATCAATGACTTCAGGCAAGGGAGGGACTTGTGTGTACAGAATGTACCCAGTAACAGGCCACGAACTCCACCCGGAGACTGCCACTGCCTCTTCTGTTTTATGTCCCCTGCCTGGCCAGATAACCGCTCGCCGCTGTCTACATCCAGCGTCCCCATCAGACCTGGAGTCGGGGTTACTGAGTTCTGGACAGATAACTTCTCAACTAAAATAAAGATACACAATTGCACATTGCATGGAGGTCAGGGGTTTTGAAGGTACCACTGCATTCGTGCAGTGCGCTTTATTAAGAGCTAGCCATTGTGAAATTCTAACTGTTGTGGTCCTTAGGGTTTTGCCAGCTGAGGGCCCTGTACATTTTACAGCCACCCTGAGGCTCAGTTTACTGATTTGTAAAATGTGAATAATTTTTAGTGCCCACATATCTCCTGAGGTTGTGAGCTTGGAGTTATTAGTTACCACAGTATAACCCAGCCTATTCTGACACGCATGAGCAAAAGATATTTGCAGAAGCAGAGTGGTAGGATGGTGAACTTTCTCAGAAGCTTGGTGTTTAAAAGGACCCATAAGGAGGGAAATGTACCCAAGGATAGATGAAAAAGTGACAGGAAGTCCAAGAGGCAGATGAAGCTTAGGGTTACAAAAACTCAAAAGAGAACTAAAAAGGATAATTTTCCCTCTGTTTCAGCAGGGTAATGAATAAGGAAAGGAGAGCTTTCACCCTCTGGGAAAGGTGCAAGGTTAACAAAATATAGAAAGGAAATCTACTCATTTCCATCAGGGGAAGGTGTTCAGATTGGAAGAGTTAAAACAGCTCCAAAGATCTCCTCTGGTCTTTCTTTTTTTTTTTTTTTTTTTTTTTTTTGAGACAGAGTCTTGCTTTGTTGCCCAGGCTAGAGTGAGTGCCCTGGTGTCAGCCTAGCTCACAGCAACCTCAAACTCCTGGGCTCAGTGATCCTACTGCCTCAGCCTCCGGAGTAGCTGGGACTACAGGCATGCGCCACCATGCCCGGCTAATTTTTTCTATATATATATTAGGTGGTCAATTAATTTCTTTCTATTTATAGTACAGACAGGTCTCCCTCTTGCTCAGGCTGGTTTCCAACTCCTGACCTTGAGCAATCAGCCGGCCTTGGCCTCCCAGAGTGCTAGGATTACAGGCGTGAGCCACCAAGCCTGCCTCCTCTGGTCTTTTTCATCACAAACGCTACTCCACCTCTGCAACTACTGGCTCAAGCATTTTGGTTTCTGTCCACAATCCCCTCTCCTTTCAGCTACTTTCAGATCCTCTGTATTTGCCAACCTCATTGGCCACTACCCACCTTTCTTCTCAATTTTTCATATTCAGCTAAGAGATGCCATACCATTATTTTAATAACGCTCCCACCAGTGAGCTAAACTCCTTTGCTCTCTGTCTTTTCATTACTCATCTAGCAAAATCCCTCAAGCCCTGCTTTTAGCTTTCTCTGTGTCTGCAAACACTATTCCAAAAAGTTTTCCCACAGGACAGATTGGCATAAAGATAACTTCATAATCATCAACCTCACTGAAATCCTACTCTCCATGTCAATTCCCAATCTTAAATTCCATGTGATTATTTCAAACCTTCTCTACTTTCCTCAAACCTCTGATACCCCTCTTTCCCTGCCCTACCTCTTCTCAACAGATGACCTTACCTCCCACTTCATACGGAAAAGAAATCATGTTAGACAATCTCTCACTTTTCCACCACCAGACCCAAATATCCACTTACCTTTGTACATATCTGCTGCTTTGCAACAAGTATATGATTTTCCAATATTAATCTACAACTTTCTCTTTCCTTATGTTTTCACTTTTCCCTCTTCTCTGTTAAGCAAGTAGGTGGCTCTGCGCTCACCCAAGAGGAGGGATGTGGCTGTGCTTCTTTCCAAAAGCCTCAACTCCAATAGTGGAGAGTGTGGTAGGTTTTTAAAAATAATCACAAAGTATTCCCCTCCTCTCTCCATGCCCTTTGGCAATGCCTTCCCATACTGACTCTGAGATGATCTTGTGGCTTGCATTGGCCAGTGGGACAGTAGCAAACATGACACAGCAGAGGTTTGAAAAATTCTCCTGCTGTGGGGATTGCACTCTTGCTGCTCTTTGGAACCCTGAGATCACCACATGAAGAAGCCTGGGCTAACCCCATGGATCAGAGAATAAGCCTTCCCAGCAGAGCCACTCTGCCCCAGGCCAATCAGCTTGCCAACCGCCAGACAGGTGAGAGAGGGTATCCTAGACCAGTGCTTCTCAAACTTTAATGTTTGAGGGATCTTGTCAAAATACAGAAACTAGGCCAGGTGCAGTGGCTCATAGCTGTGATCCCAGCACTTTTGGGAGGCTGAGGCAGGAGGATGCTTGAAGCCAGGAGTTCAAGACCAGACTGAGCAACAAAGCAAGACCCTGTATCTACAAAAAATAAAAGAATAAAAAACAATTAGCCAGGCAGGAAGGCATGTATCTGTAGTCCCAGCTACTCACTACTCAGGAGGATGAGGCAGGAGAATTCCTTGAGCCCAGGAGTTCAAGACTGCAGTGAGCTGTGACTGTGCCACTGCACTCTATCCTTGGCAACAGAGCAAGACCCTGTCTCAGAAAAATGCAGACACTGATTCATTATGCCTGGGGTGGGGCCAGAGAGTCTACATTTCTGATAAGCTCCCAGGTGTTGACGATGCTCCTGGTCTGAGGACCACACTTTGGGTAAAAAGATGCTATATCCTCCAGCCCCAATGGAGCTGACCTACCCAATTGTGAGAAATAATACATGTGTGTTGGGAGTTTTGGAGGTTTGCTATGCAGCAAAAATTAACTGATATAGAGAAGGCATGAGGGCATAGATTAAATGTCTTGGAGAAGCAGAAGAAAGGACAGCACTCTAGTGGCCCCTCCACCAAGAGATTTCGTCTAGGCTTGGAGTGGGTGAAGGGAGAAAGAGAAGTCTATGGATCCCCAGTAGAGAGCACCTGAGCTTTTCTTCCTGGAGGTGAGTCAGGGCAGAGCAGGAGTCAAGGAGGAATGGGTGCATGGTTCATCTTGACAGAGATGATTAACGGCACTGCCCAGGCATGGCATGAAAGCAGCAGAAGGGTCACAGGGACAGTGATGGTGACATCTTGGGGCAACTATGTGGACAAAAACCCAATGATCCTAAGACACCAGATTAATAGTACAACCCTAGAAGTAGAGAAAACCAGAGGAATTAACAAGAGGTAATTAACCCTAGGTAAATCGTCTGTAATCCTGGCAGAAGGAACTCAATCAGAAATAAAGTTGTTTTCTATAAAGTGATTTCTAGCACACCTAAGTTAGTGGACCTGCTATTCCTTTTTTATGATAAAGTAATACAATAGAGTAGGCCGCAGTCAATCCCTCCTATCAATCACCACAATCACCATGTCTCCCTCCTGTTTATTCAACTACATCCTCTCAGCCAGATTATTCCCATTGATGTGAAAATTAAACACAGTTAAGAGTCTGTCTCTCTCTCTCTCTCAAGTTCCATTGATTTGCATCCTCATTTAGCTTAACTACTGCTAACACATACAGCACCTTTGTGGGAATCAGAAGGTGCCCCTTCCAGAGAGATGGGTTGCAATAAGAGGCTGACTACATCGAAGTAGGTACCCCTTCCTTTAGGCCATAGCCCTAGGCCAAGGCTTACAGCTTGAAAACAGAACTTGGTTGGATTTCAGCCTGCTCATGCATCTTTCTGCCTGGCACCCTCGCCCCACTCTTGTCCCACCCTTGCTCGGCTGCCACTGGTTTCTCTGCCCTCTCCTCACAGCCCAACTTCTTCATTGACTTACCTATACTTGCTCTCTCCATGCTCTCATCTCCTACTTATGCTTCAGCACACTTCAAGCTAGGCTCTGCCCCCATATTGCTGCATAATCAGCTTTGTCTAACCTTCCATGTTATTGAATCCAGAGTATATTTTCATGCCTCACTTTATTTGACCTTTAACATTTTTAATTGACACATTATAATTGTACATACGTATTAAAAACATTTAACATTATTGATAGCTCCCACCTTCAAACCTCCTCTTCTTTCATTTTCTGTGACATCACACTTGCCTGGTTCTCTTCCGATTTCATAGCTGCACCTTCAGAGCACAGCGTCTGGAAGATTGGGCTTTGGAGTGAGACCACCCAAGTTCATAGGCCATTTCCACCACTTACAGTTCTGTGGCCTTGGGCAAGTTGCTTAACTTCTTTGTGCCTCATCTGTAAAATAGTGATTCTAATAGTAGCTGTCCTGTGGGGCTGTTGTAAGAATTAAATTTTATGTATATATGGTCATGTGCTGCATGACATTTTGGTCAACGAAGAGCCACATATACAAGAATAGTCCCATAAGAGTATAATAGCATATTTTTACTATATCTTTTCTGTATTTAGATATTTAGATAAACAAATACTTACTATTGTATTAAAATTACCTATAGTATTCAGTACAGTAACACACTGTACAGATTTGTAGCCTAGGAGCAATAGGCTACACCATATAGCCTAGGTGTGTAGTAGGCTGTACCATCTAGGTTTGTGTAAGTACACTCCAGGATGTTCACAAACAATGCTGAAATCACCTAACAATATATTTCTCAGAACATATCCCCAGCAATGAATGGCACACACAAACCTGCACACGTGTGTGTGTGTGTGTGTGTGTGTGTGTGTGTGTGTGTATGATTATGTATATAAAATCTCAGAACAGTGCATGCCATGGAGTAAGCTTCAAGTATTATGAGTTACTACCATTGTCATTGCTGTTGTGGGATGCTCATTCAATGTTAGAATGTTAGAATTCCTCAAGGCTCAGCCCCAGGACATCTTTTTTCACTGTCTCTTCAGTGACCCCAAATTGATATCTCCTGCCCAGGCCTCTCCTTGGGGCTCTATACACTGAAATCCAGTTGCCCACTTGACATTTCCTCTTGGTTGCCTCAAGGTTATCTCAATTCTAATATGTGAATTGCAAAACCATCTATTCTATTATACAATCAGAAACCTAGGAATCATTCTTGGCATCTCCTTTTTCCTCAGCTCCCCTTCCTCAATCCAATCTATCACTAAGTCAAGTTGGTTTTACCTTCTCCATATCCTTTCAATCCATTCACTTTTCTTCATTGCTACTGCTATGTGACCTCTCTCACATGACCAAACTGTCTCCTGGAGCACTGTAAAAACTGCTTCGCCAGTCTCAGTTTCCATTGTTCCCTCCTCTGATTTTGAATCAGTGATATACTTCAATTACATCATTCCTCTGCTCAGAATTTGTCCGGCCTTCCAGTTGGTCTTTGTATAAAGACTCAAATCTTTAAGGCTTGTAAATTATGTTGTTTGGCGTCTTGAATGCCAGAGCTTATCATGGTGTCAAGCACACAGTAGGTGTTCAATAAGCTTTTGCTGTCTGATTGACTGCTGGGAGGCAGCACTTTTACATTTTATCTTTGAAAGCAAACCACTGACAATTTTCATTGAGAGACTAAGAAATATTAGCAGAAATGACTTTCCAGAAATAGTCTTGCTGGGGTCCAGTGGATTGGGGTTAAGGTAGGGACAGAAGGAGTAGAGAATTTGAAGTAGATGGCAGTTGGAAAGGAAAGGATAGATAGAGGTTGGGAAGGCAGAATCTGCAGGATTGGCTGTGAAAAAAAAAAAGACCAGGCTTTGGGGCTAGGAAAAAGAAAAAATATTCCTTTGTATTCATTTATTCTGCTACATTTTCTCTTTTTTTGTGAGGTTTCCAACATTATAAACAGGGATGCTAAAATCACATCTTTACTACTTTCAAAACACTAGACCTATTACCTATCAGGTACAATGTTTACTATTTGGGTACACTAAAAGTCCTGACTCCACCACTGTACAATTCAGCTACATATCAAAAAACCATTTGTACCCCCCCCAAACTATTGAAATGAAAACAACAACAACAAAAAACCCCAAAACCTCACTGGACCTAGAGACCAAATTTCCTCAAAAATGGCTGGCCATTTCATTTGTATTTTTTTATATCTTGACATTTATTTATTCAAAAATAATTATCAAGTGCCAATCACATACCTGGGGTTGTGCTGGACAGAGGAGGTACACAGTGCATAAAACAGTCCCTGTCACTGTTGTCCTTTTCAGCCTAATGGAGGAAACCAGCTTTAATCAAATAAAGCTCCAAGTGTGTGAATAACCCCCAACTGAGCTGAGTGCTGTGAAGGAGAGGAACACGGTTCCATAAGAGTGTGCAACAAAAAGGTCTTCCCTAGACTTATATGCACTGATTTTCTGTGTGTGTGTGTGTGTGTGTGTGTGTGTGTGTGTGTGTGTGTGTAGTAAAGTCTTCCCAGAAGGGATGCTTGAGCAGAGATCTGAATGTGGAGAAGGATTTGATTAAATGAAGTGGGAATGGGGTGGCAGGAGGGAACATGACCAGTTCAAGAAAGTTAGAGAGACTATGTAGTTATTCTTGCATATTCATTTTTCCATATGAACTTTAGTATCAACTTGTTCAGGTTCAGAATAAAAGCTTATTGGCATTTTAAATTGAGAGTGTGGTAAATTTATAAAATAACTTAGGGAAGAAGAATTGGCATCTTTATGATATTGACTTGTCCCATCTATGAGGGCCACCATTCAGCCCACTACATCATGTAAGGTAACAGCCACAAGTTCCAGAGGTCAGGACATAGATATCCTTTTTTAATTAGGTAGGACATGGATATCTTTAGGAACCATTATTCTGCCTACCACAAGTACTATTTACAATAACACTAAAAAATGAAATAGGTGTAAATTTAACAAATATGTCCTAGATCTGTGTGCTGAAAACAATAAAACAATGATGAAAGAAATCAAAGAGAGCTAAATGTATGGCAAGATATGGTGTGTTCATGGATTGGAAGATTCAGTATTGTTAAGATGTCAATACTCTGCAAATTTATCTATAGATTCAATACAATCCAAATCCAAATCCCAGCAGGACTCTTTGTAGAGATCAGCAAGGTCATTCTAAAATTTACATGGAAAGGCTAAGCAATGAGAAATTCAAACCAATTTTTAAAAATAAGAACAAAATTTAAGAGTCATACTACTTGATTTTAAGACTTACTATAAAGCTACAGTAATCAAGACTGTGGTAGTGGTGAAAGGATAGACACATAGGTCAATGTGATAGAAGAGTCCAGAAATTGACCCACACTTTTTATAAAAATTGACTCAAAATCAATCCTAGCCCTAAATGTCAGACTATAACTTTTAGAAGAAAACATAGAAGAAAATCTTTGTGCCCTGAGGTTAGGCAAATAACCTTAGATATGACACCAAAAGCACTATAAGTTGGACTTCATGAAAATTAAAAACCTTTGCTCTACAAAAGATGCTAAGAGGATGAAAATATAAGCTATACTAGGAGAAAATATTTATGAATAACATATCTCACAAAAGGACTTGCTTCCAGAATATACAAAGATCTCTGAGACAATGAGGAAACAAACAACCCAGTATAAAAAACGGGCAAAAGATTTGAACAGACACTGCACCAAAGAAGATAATCAGAAGCCTATAAGGACATGAACTAGTGCTCAACATCAACAGTAAAATGCAAATTAAAGCCATAATGAAATACCACTGATACACCTATAAAAATGGCTTAAAAAAAACATGAAAGTACAAACTGCAGGCAAGGTTGTAGAGCAACTGGAACATTCATACATTACTGGTGGGAATGCAAAAATGGTACAGCCACTTTGGAAAAACAGTTTGGCAGTTTTTTATAAAGTTAAAAATACACTTGCCACATGTTCTGTCAATTCCATGCCTACATATTTCCCCAAAATAAATGAAAAATTATGTTCACACAAAATCCTATACATGAATATTTATAGCCACTTTAGTCACAATTGCTAAAAATTGGAAGCAACTTTAATGTCATTCAACTGGTGAATGTAGAGACAACTAAGGCGATCCATATAATGGAACACTACTCAGCAATAAAAGGAGTGAACTACTCATTCATGCAACCACATGAATGAACCTCAAGAGCATTCATCTGTGTGCAAAAAGCCAGCTACATTCTATATAATTCCATATGTGTGGCATTCTGGAATATGGATAAGTATATTAACAGAGAATAAATTAGTGGTTGCCAGGGATTAAGAACAGAGTAATTAACTATAAATGAACAACATGAGGGTATTTTTTGGGGGTAATTAGAATTATTCTGTTTATCCTGACTGGTAGCAGTTACATGACTCTGTGCATTTGTCAAAATTCATAGAACTATATACCAAAAAGAGTGAATTTTACTATAGGAAAATTAAAAAATAAGATAAAAAAAACCCAGATATTCCTGGCTCTACTTTCTTCCAATGAACAAGCTGTCTTCAGCTTTAGAACTCAAGCAAATATAAAAATGGCTGTAGGAAAAGCCTGCGCGGCAGGCCGCGGCCGCGCTAAGATGGCGACTCCCATGCATCGGCTCATAGCTCGGAGACAAGCTGAAGCAGATAAGCAACATGTAAGATGTCAGAAATGCTTGGAATTTGGACATTGGACTTATGAATGCACAGGAAAAAGAAAATACCTACATAGGCCTTCAAGAACAGCAGAACTAAAGAAAGCTTTAAAAGAAAAAGAAAACAGATTGTTATTACAACAAAGGAGCTTTTTTTCCCCTCGTGTTTATCAGCATTGGAGAAATGTAGAAAAAAAGACCAAGAAAAAAAGGTCTAAAAGTGTAACCAGTTCCAGTAGCAATAGCAGTGACAGTTCAGCCAGTGATTCTTCATCAGACAGTGAAGAAACGTCTACCTCATCCTCCTCAGAAGACAGTGACACTGATGAAAGTTCCTCCAGCTCACCATCTTCGGCCTCCTCCACCACCTGTTCCTCCTCCTCTGACTCAGACTCGGATTCCAGCTCTTCTGGTAGCAGCAGCACCAGCACAGACAGCAGCTCTGAGGATGAACCGCCAAAGAAAAAGAAAAAGAAAAAGAAATAGAATTGCTCCGTACATACTGGACTGGTGGACTGAAAACATTAATCTGATTCTCAAAAGGGAATTTAGAATATGTTAAGGCCAAATAGGTTAACTGGTCAAAATTTCTAGAATTCGAAAGTTTCTAAATGTTTCACATTCTAAGAGCAGAAAGAGTATTAATAATAATGGATTATATATAAAGACTTTCTTATTTTAAGGGTGAATCTTGTTCTTTTTTTATCTCTAAACTGTATCTCTAGAACTGAATCAAAGCTGAAATCTGTAAATCTGTTTTTGTGATTAAACTTATTTTTTCTCCCTGTGAAATAAATGCCATACTGTGTTACAGGTTAATAGTATGTATCAGACATGTTTTCGGGCTAGTGCATCAGAATATCTGGCAATGAATTTCTAATGCTCTTGGCTGTGTGTTATTATGTAAGTAAGGTTTAATACGTTGTTACTATACGCTTGGGAGTTTTCCTACTGTTAGTAAATGTGCTCTATTTTTATGTGGGAGTTTTCCTACTGTTAGTAAATGTGCTCTATTTTTATGTTTATGTTCAGAAAGTTATTCTGATTTTTTTGTCCTAAATATTAAGTTCAAGGAACCTATTAATATATTTATACCTTTGGAATGCTACAAGTTTCAAGTTGCTGTGTTGTATCATTCGTTTTCTTCGGGTTCCTTAAGTTATCCTTTTCTGAGGAAAGTCATTCTAGACGAACCTTAAAAGGGACAAAAAAATCTGAAACTACTTAGGAGTCTAATCTCAGTGCCTTTTGATAAATTCAGTGTATCAGAAAAGAAAGAAGCCATGTTAAAGGCTAACTTAAGTAAAAGTACTATGTGTATTAACATATTATAACATGTATTAACATGTTATAAAAGGTACCATTCAAAGGGGGGGGAAGGTAGGAGGAAAAGAGGTAATTTTTATAGAAAATTAGGGCAACGTTTGGCCACCTTTTATTAAAAGCTTATTTTAAGCTTTCATAAAGATTGCCTTTTGCCATTTTTGCAATTATGATATTACAGTTTATATGGTAACTGGTCATATATGACAGTCTACTGCATAAATATGAATGACTGGGATTAATCTGATGTGTTTACATAGCATATACACAGTTGATATCCAGAATGAAAGGTTAAAAAGAAAATACTGCACAATACTTCTTAGAAGTAACATACTCTTATTGTGGTGAGATTGTTTGGTTTAACATCACATTATTCCGTGATGTCTTTTAAACTTTTTGGAAAGAGGTATCATTTGTAGAAAAATCTTGATTTGGGTTAAATATAAGTTTTTAAAACTATAAATGTTGTCTTTTTTATATTTTTATGAGAAAGCAGTAGAAAATTACTTTTGAAGAAAATGAGCTTTATTTAAATGTTAAAATACATGTCTATTGTGAGTTTAAGGAGCCTGTAATTACTTGCAATTTTTTCAGAACCATCTGCTTTCAGTAATTACAAATAAACTCTCAATACATTGTTTCAAGGCTCCATACAGAATGGATCACTTGACAGGTAGATTTAATAAATTAATTCAACACAGTTTACAATGTTTGTCATCTCTGTAAGGGTCATTTTAGCAGTACCTGGAAGAGAAAAAAATGTGGTACATAGGTTGCATCACTTGCAATTAAATAAAACTCACAATTTGTGTTCAAAAAATAAAAAATGGCTGTAGGATTTGCCTGCAACCCATGTCCAAGTTCTATGAGTTCATTCCCATTATAGGTTGAGTTCTTTGGGAAGCAGAATCCGAGATGGAGATTAGCATGCAGGAAATTTGTTAGAGAAGGCCCTTGGGAACAATGCTTGTTGAAGGGAAAGGAAAGACGTAGGATTTGGCAGAGTGAGAAATTGAGTTGCAATAAAAGCCCAGCAATTCTCTTGGTCTAACACATGGTGATCTTTGAAGATGGGATGGCTATTCAGAGTTGTTTCATGTTGAGTGGAGAGAGAGGGCTAGGCCCCATGTCATTCAGCTATTGGAGGCTGAATTCTAGAAGGATGTGACTTTGGGCGAGGCAGCTCTCTTCAGCCAAGGCCATCCCTGAAGTTGCTGACAGCTAAGGGTTTTCTGCAGGCACCACTCCCAGCAACTGGGGAACATTTTCCTGAAGGAGGATCTGGACAGCATCCACCACACTTCTGACCTCTTCAAAGGAGGAGGTATTCCAACCTTCTTTACTACCTCCCAGAGGGCAGGCATGGTGATTTCCTGTTGAGATCCAATGGCAAGACACTTACCAGGTCCCTTTAAATTTTCTAATAAAAACATAAATCAATAAACATATTTTCTGGGGAAAGAGTGATTTTTCACAGGAATTTTTTCAATTTTACAAATTTTTACACATTTTTCGTCTTTGTTGTAATATGTATATGTATTTTATGAGCAAGAAAACATAAATTGTAATGTAATTTAGTTAAGTTTGTTAATTTCAACTTTCTTAACAGAAAAGAAAAATTAATTACATGGTGTACATTGGGCATCTTTCATAATACTCTTACTTTTTCACATTCTTAGTATTTTGCCTCCTAGCATGTTGAGGACTGGACAGGCTTCTAAGCTGTGGCCAAAATGGGGCAAGGATTATTCTAGAAAGACTGTTAGGATATCACTGTATACCACTCCATCTCCCATGAATATAGAGGTTGCACTGTGAGAGGAGGCGTTACTCACCATCTTTCCTACTTAAACATGACTTCATGCCCTGTGGTTCCCTGCCTACCTCTCAAACTACTCCTTCTTAATCTCCTTCAAAGCTTTCACCTAACCTAAAATATTGGTAATCCAAGGTTCCATCCTGGGGCCCCTCTTCTTGTTGTACTCAACCACCTGAGACTTTCAATTCTCATGGCTTCTCTCACAATGTTTACATGGTCCATTCTTAAATATCATCTCCAGATTTATCTCCTGAACTCCAATTAGTCTCATATTTCCAAATCTGTCTCAGCACCTCCACCTGGACTCCTCCCAACCCCCACACGTCAAATTCACTTTGTCCTAAACCAAATCCTCTACAAATATGCTATTCCTCATGGATTTTCTGTTTTGAGTAATGTTATTATCACACACCAAGAAACCTCACAGTCATCTTTGTGTGTGCTTCCCTCTTTCTTAGACACCACATCCAATCATTCGCCCTAGCTCATAAAGTCTACCATGTGAATGTTTCTTAAATATGCCCCCATCATTAATTCTACCCTGCAACAAGATGCCACCATTCATCAATGCACACTCTGCTTTTCCACTCTAGCTTTGTGAGATCCATCATCTCTTAATTGGTCTTTCTGCTTTCATTCTCTACTGCCCCCACACCTTTATAAGATGGCTCTCTGAGGCCAACAGGATCAGGTCCATGCTCCTTAGCACACCTCTTAAGGGTTTTTACAGTGCTGTCCTTATTCCTTGGCATGCCTTCTAAGGGTTTTCACAGTCTGGCCCCCAATTTTCTCTACAGTGTCACATCTTGCCATTTCCTTCCTCTTCCTCCTCCATACTTTATTACAGCTCTGTTGGCACACTGCATGTTTAATACCGTGTGTTCTAGCCAGGCTGTTCGGGGTTCCATGAAAATGCTGAATAGTTTGATGCTTCTAAATATAGCTCAGGTTGTTTCCACTGCCTGAAATACCTTTTGTTCACACTTCAGTCTGTGATATCCCACTCAGATTTCAAGCTCACATATAAAGTTCCTTCAAAAGAATGAATGATTCTTTTTCTGGGTTTCCATGGAAACTTGTGCACACCTGCATTGAAACACCTCTTACATTCTGTTATGAGTTGTTTTTTTTTTCCTTTACTGCATGGACTGTGACCTTGGCAAGAAAATCTGAAATATAATAGATGTTCAATTGATGTTTGGTTTGAACTAGTAAATTTAATACCCCTGGTGTAGTTGGTACATTAAGTTGGGAATACTAATTACATACATCTAAGAATTAATTTTAATTATATGCTGTACTCTAGGTTAGAAAGTAGGAAAGCAGATATTAATGTGTGGAGCCTAAAAAAGGGAAGAAGTAATTTTAAAGAACTAATTTGAGAAACAAAGAGTAATGAGGGGGTCTGCATGGAAGAAAGGAGTGAAGAGGAACCAGAAGTGAACATGATTTACAGATAAATTTGCCCACTTTAGCATTTCATCCTTGCTATTCTATTTTTGTAAATAGGTAGGCTAATGTGACCCAATGAGAAAGTATCTGGTGAAAACAATGTCCAAAGTAGGTATTGAAGATGTTGAAAAATTCTACTTTCTATATTAACTATGAATTTTTATTTTTCTTAGTCTCCTTTTATAAAAGTTACTTCATGATGAATACCATTTTGTAAATGAATTCAAGATGTAGATAAAAGAGAAATGAAATAGAGATAATTCTATTTTGTTACTTAGTTTCACATGTCCATTTGGACAATTTATCCATATATTATAAAATGTCACCATCTGCTGGGGGAAGAAAAGATGTACAATTCAACTTTGTTGTGTGAAGTGCTATTTTAAGTCAATATGATTACTTACAATTACAGAACTTTTATTTTAGAAAGATGATTACACTGGTTCAGCTGGTGAAGAATTACCTGATCATATAGGCAAATATTACTCAACAATCTGCTTTGTTTGAGGATATGCTTTTTCCAATAAGCAATTCACATCAAGTATCCTTTAACATGTTTCAACAAGAAGCTATTTCTCAGGACCATTCATCCTCTGTTTTCAGCTCTTTGCAGTTAGCACTTAATATGGAAGTATCAGGTATTAAAATTGGTGACTACAGATGTGGGACTGGCTTAGTGAAAAGAACAGAATGGCTTAGTGAGAAGCGCAACAAATCCCTTCCTCAAAAAGCAATGATAAAACTGACAAGATTGCCAAAAACAACCACAGTCAGGACTCTGGAAATTGACCAGAAAGAGAGAAAGGGGTAGAAAAAACATTTCAGAAATAATGGCTGAAAACACCCCGAATTTGATGAAATACATTAATCCACACATAATACTTCTTTCACTTCTCATAATGTTTT